CGGCGCTTTCTTGCTCGCTTGCCCACAGCCGCGTCACCCGAGGAACCGATCGCCTCGGAGACCACCTGAGTAGCCTCCTTAAGTGCCGAAACCTTTGCCGTGAGGCTTAGTGCTCTTGGCTTGCGCCTTCCCGGCAGCAGCCTTGGAGCGTGTCTTCGCACCGCTCTTTGCAGTGCCACGAGGCATGGTTAACGGTCGAAGTGGAAGACCTAGAAGAAGAGCGCACTGACTGCTGCTCGAGGCTCTAACTGTGAAGTGAGCCTCCGCCGCGCTTGTGCGGCCAAGTCGACGGTTTTCGACCTTGAGAATGAAAGTTTGTGACGAACACCTCTTCATTCTGATTGGTCGGTAAACCGAACCTAAGTGGGGGAGGATGTAACGGGTACGTAGCCCTAAGTGTACCCTGGTTACATGAAGTGTGACACGTCATACTTCGGGATATTTGGTACAAAGTACCAAGGTCGTCCAAAGCCAACCATTGGTTGATGACATTGCATTTCTATCGGTGACTTTTAGTTTGTATTAAACCCAAGCTTTATCTACTTTAAATATACTCAGTTTACATTCTACCTTAAGTAGGTCACTTCGCTCTCTTTTTAATAAAGAGGGGACATGTGAACTGCCGTTCACTGAAAGTTTGTATACTCTCGGAAGATAACTTCCTCAGCGCAAGGTGCTGTGTGACCCCGTCACAGCTAGGGATATGATGTGAGAACGGTTAGCAAAGAAATGTTCTTAAAAATATTTGGTATTGTTGTGTGGATACGTATATAACGTAAAAGTGCGTATTTGTGTAGATTAGTGTTATAAATTAAAGGATAAAAATCGTTTGAAAAGGGGGGGGATAAATTAAAGATTAAGTGTAAATTTTTAATTAGAATAAATTTAAACGAGAGAAAAGAAAAAAAAGAAAATGTGTAATGTAGATGTATTGATTATTTATTTTTTTGTTAAAATGGTTTTAAATAGAGAAAGTAATAAATTAGATTTGTGAATTTAGATTTGTGAATGTAGAAGAGATTATTTTTGGGTTGTTTATGATAAAAAAAAATAAAAAAAATTTAATTTATTGATTTTTAAAAAAATATTTTTTTTATTAAAAGTATTTCATATATTTTTTTCAAGCTATATTCACAGTATATATATATATATATATATGATCCGGGCAATAGCTATCTCTCGCCAGGGCATAAGGGTCCGCTTTTTGCGTCTATTTTAGGCGTCGATGGTCCCCTTTTCCTATCTATCGAGGGGTCCACTTTACGCAAAATAAGCATTTCGACGCACAGAAAAAGCTTGACTTTTGTTTTGGTACACAGATCCCAGCTGACGTGACGCATCAGATTTCAGCCACTCAGCGCACAGAAGCGGCATATTAACCTGTTCTCTTCACCGGGGCAACGTGAGTGGCTCAAATTTTAGTGACCCATGTATTCGACCACGACAGAGCCAATTAGATGATTGCAGAGAGACGAGCCAATTCGCCGCTAATCAGGAAGTTAGCGAATAGACCTGGTACAAAGCTGAAAATTTTGAAGACTATGTTCTCGAATACGGGGAATTGAACCATATGGCGGATGTGTGCAAGGGATAGGTCGTTGCGCCAATATCCGAAATGACCAGGTATTTTGTTATTTTTCCAAATTCAAGGTTGAAAGTATGATATAAAAATAAAATATAGGATTTCAAAAGTAAACCCATATTTTGATCACAAATTGACAGTTTTAACGTGTTGTTGTCGTTGAAAAAGAATTTTTATAAAATGAATGTTGCGATTATTCAACAATTTCATGGCTAACAAGATACGAATTGAACATGTCCGATAGTATAGAGAGCTAATCAGACAAGATGAAGTGAACGAATATGTGAAATGTAGAGTGTTAGGCGCATGTGTAGCAAGAGATATGTGTATTGTTAAGAGAGTGAAATGTACAGAAGGAAAATAAATGTATTGCTGGTATCGTTGAGCTAATAAAGTATTTGAGTGAAGTGAAAAGGTAAATCATATAAGTGTTTTCGGATACGTGGGTAGTTTTCAGATGTGCAAAAAAATAAAATGTAGATTTAATTAAGGACAAAACATGTAAATGTACGATATACACGTAATATTGATTAAGAAAAAAGTGTAGTAATAAGTAAGGATAGGTAATAAGAATATTGTGCAGTACAAATGAAAGGAAAGTGTTGTAGTGTGTTAAAAATATGCTGCGTAGACGTGTATAATAGGAGTTGTAGTTGAAATAAAATAAAAAGTGTGTGTAGTTGATATGGCTAAGAAAATATGATGTTAGAATATTAATAAATGTATAAAACACAAAAAGTAAAAATAAATTCAGAGAGAGAATAAAACGTAAATAGATAAAAAAGTTAAATTGGAGAAAAAAGACAATTAATGTAGCGATAAAGAAAAAGTAAAAAAATACAATATAATGAACAGAAAAAATCAGTATTGAAATCAATTTTTAAAGGTGTAAAAAGAAAAAAAATAGTTGTATAGAATAAAACGTGTGAAGAAAAAAAACTACTATGCATATAATCCGGTCGATACATAGCTATCGACTGTTTCTTGTAGTCCATAATCGTCATTAATTTTGGGTTTTTGTAGTCTCAACCTAAAGCATCGGGTAGTCCATTTTGCCTAAAATAAATGTAGGGTACCGGTATATTGAATCACCCAAAATAAACTCTATTTTGGTGCAATTCGAAGTTGATATTTCATAAAATCGCCGCATTACGACAGCCATGCTGAGAAGGCGGGTGTGATCGATGCATCTACACATGGACGCACTGCAGGCGCGGTAAGCTATCTGTTTGAATCGGTGAAGCTGGCGGGGCGGGGACATCAAACTTGCTGCTAAAGTGACATCCCGCCACGAACAGTGTGAGTGGGGTTAAAATCACGAGCGGTCGGCGTCATCTTCGACGAACAATAGTGGCCAGGTGTCTATCAGCTCCGCCACAAGCGCCATCTCTGGTGCTGTAACAGTAAGCTCTGGTGTCAGCAGCCCTGGGATATCTGGTCTGGTGAGGGTACAAGCACTAGTGGCGTCCATCATTACGGCTGGATCCATCGTAACGAAGGCCCTCGGGTCAACTCTGGTCAGGTGTTCCCGCTCGCTACCTGCGCGACCTCACGGCTGAGGAGACGCAATTCATGAAGTAGTGCTCGGCCGAGTACGCTCAACTGGCGGAGCAGCACGCCGGCGAGTGCGCTAGGACCTTCGAGGAGTACGAGGCTGACATGGAGCGCTACAAGATCCTGCGGGACGTGGGCGAGACTGGTCTGCTACAAAAAGGCGATGAGCGCGAAGACAATGGTCTCTACTTCCGTTACTAGACGGCAAGCATAGTTTCGAGTGCAGAATAACGAAGAGCGAACAAAAAGAATGATCATGGACTCAAACGATAGATTGGCTCCGTGGCTTATCATTTATAGGTGGATAAAAACTTTCATGCCTACGAGTTCTGAGAGCTCACTCTTCGTCACTCTGTTCTTGCACCGCAACTACAGCAAAACATACCGGTAATAAAGATCAGTGTACGCAAGCAAGAAAAAACTTGTACCATTGTCGAGAGCGCAATCAGCTTTACGAAAAACTCCCGCACTACAGGCTCTTGAAGTGTAGCCGTTATCGCAAAGACCTTTGGGTTGGCCATGAGCTGCAGCACAACATCGCCTAAAAACGTGAATTGCACGGCTATTACAAAACCAGCGCTTGCACCAGCCGTACCTGCTACCAGCATGCTGGCCATTAAACCGGGTCCTGCAACGCCTGCACGTAGTATGAGCCTTGGTTCATGGCGGTCATCAGTGACGGCCCAAAGTGAACGCTCGAAAGTTATTCCAGAATCTCGGCATCTTCGTCACTGGCTCCAGCAGAGCTCTGAACCTCCAACACCTCTTCTTCATCAGATGCAGGCGGCGAACTAAGTCTGTGATAGCTTCCAAGGCGCTCTGTTCTTCTTCACGCTGCTTTGATAGTTCAAGCACCTCCAGAAAACACTTCAAGGTATTGACGGAATCCTCCTCTTCTGCATGAAAAAGTAGCAGCTCTGGATTTTCGCCAACCTCCATCAACGCATCACAATAAGCTGCCCATCTTCTCTATCACCTGTGTCCTTTTGCTTTGACTGTAAGAAGTCAATTAACTTCTGATAAAACCCTCGCAGCTCGTGGTCACCCAATTGAGATTCGAGGACGTCTGGGTTCAAACTCATGTCTCGTAACACCGACACTATCTTCTCGTTTTGCTACATCAACTCGCGCATCGTGTCGTCATGCAAAAAAGCGTTTACTACCTGTGCGTCGAGGCCACCATGCGTGCGGAGACAATGCGACTGGAGATTACTTGCTAGCTGATACACCGTTTTCTCTTCCTGGACCTTCGGCTTTTTCTTCAGCGCCAACTTCGAGCGAAGCTCGCCCTCGCGTCCATTATACTTCGTTAGCAGCTTCTTGACAGTGTTTTCCCTTTGGGGGCCATACCAAGCCAGTAGATCATTTGATAAACCCCGCCGTTCCCACTTTTTTGAAACATAGCGGCATCTCCACGTGATCATGAGAAACAACAATTGTTTTTTTGTCGCGGCATCAGCTTCTCGATCCTCGAGTAGCAACTCAAGTTTTTCCAGAAGGCTAACTGACTTGAACTGAACCATCGATGAAGAAAAAACACTTATCTCTGGATTCGGGCAGTCTTCGCTATATAGAAGATCGCTGAGCCAATTCAACAAGTTACTGTCATCACTAGCCACGCTGTCCAGAACGTAGGGTTCCCTCAACAGACTGGTGTCTCTCGTTAGAACAGTGCTTTTCGAGATATCAATTACCGAGTATGATCACGGTGGATTCCTACAAATTTCCGCTTGCCGAATCAGACGCTGTGCACGACACTGTTGTTCAACGAGATCCTTGAACACGACGGAAGGTTGTTTCTTGGAGTTGGGACGAATACAATGAAAGTAGAACGGCATGTTCTTGTCATCATGGCTTGATGGCATTAACGTGAGAGCGAAACTGCCCAACCTCCAGGTAGTCGAGACTCTGCTGAACTAAACGTGCTGCTGTTTGTGTTTGAAGGTCTACCCACCTGATTGCTTTCCGCAAGCATTCGACAGAAATGAGGATTAGTCGACGCCTCGAGCCCCACCAACAGGCTTGAGTAGACAAAGTCCGAGTTTTTCTTCACGAAATTAACGTTTCCACGTGTGTGCGGGATTATAAAGGGTAATTTGTTCGGCAATACAGTAAATCGAAGATTTCCCTTGTTTAAGGCGCGAGGCGGTTCAGGTAATCGAGACGGATTGCGGTCGTAGATGTTGCGTACAAACAATCTGTTCCGTTTTTCCTCTTGCTGCGCGTTCACGTTTTCGCTTTGGTGAAGAATAGTCAGCTCCTCAGGCGAAGCGAAAATTCCAAGAGGATGCTCATAAATAAAAAGAACGTCCGTGTCCTTGTCACGGACAGACGAATACGGTCGGTTATTGTAGGCAGCTGTAACCACTTGTTCTTCTCTATCCAGTGAGTTATGCGAGAGGTCTTCAAAGCCAAATACGTCGACAATCTTCAGCAGTGAAATGTCTGGTGGGATAATCGGGTTGGAGTCCACACGTAGCTCATTCCTATCAGTGCATGAACCACTAATTTTTGTTGCTTTGTTCCTAGCGGTAACGATGTACTTGAACGGGAGCTGGTATAACAAACGTACGAGTGTGTCTCGAACATGCTTTACCTGACCCTGCTCCAGAGTCACCTCGAATGCTTCACTCGTCCATTGCAAACTTACACTTCTTGTCATCATCATTCGTTTCAATTTCTCCACTGATCCCAACTCTAAAAGTTCCACCACTCTTTGAGGTGCATTAGGCACCCCGTCCATGTAGAAGACATCAAAAGCTTCCCCGATGTCTCAGGATAGTCAAGCTCAATATTTCCGAGCCACAGAACAGCACTTAGCACGTTAAAAATTGCCTTTCTGCTCGTCTGGGGATACGTCTAGCCCATCAATAATCTGCTGCCATCTTTCCACATCCTTTTTCCACGTTTCCTCTTTGCTCATTTGCTCTGCCAGCTTGTGGTCGCTGCGACCGAGATAAGTAAACGCGAAGCACTTTACACCATCGAAATGCAACTCCTTCGCTAGCAACCGCATAAAAGGAAAAGGCGTTGACACCGGCCACCATCGCGTACAGTACGCGAAAGTTCAATTCATTCTGGTCTCCAGCTTCACGACCTCTTTCACTTGTGACGCGGGATTTTTCAAGTAAAAATGACGATACGTGACAGCCACAAATCTGAAACTCCAAAGGATGAAACCCAAAGGCAACTTGCAGAGTTGTCACTTTTCCAAACCTTGACGAATTAAGGCTCATCGACGTGGTAGCATTTCCAAACGCTTCCATAATAATAGGGAAGTCCAAACTGTGCTCAGCTTCTTCGCCACATGTGGATTCTTAAGATACATTTGCAATTGTTCTTCATCCTCAAGATGCTACAACTTGTCGTAAAACCCAAAGAAAAGGTTGGCCACGTGCACAAGGGGGAGACGCTTACTTCGACTCACTGATGCCATTTCTTCCCAGCGCTCAGGATGCAAAGCCAGCAGCACGATTTCGTATTTCTCCACACCTTTAGCTTCGAGGAGAGCGATCGTTCGTGCTTTCTCTATTCTCATCTGAATGGTACTTTTAGTGGAGCTAGTAAACAGCTTGATCTTGGGCTGGAGACCCTCCGAACCCTCAGAAAGAGCTGGTTGCGCCACAAGTACCGGGTACTTCAACAAGTCCTTGGCAAGTTCTGTCTTGCTACTCTCGCCGCAAAGAAAAAAGGGATTGCCCGCGACCCATAGCCATAGTACGGTTGTTCAGTGAAGTTTTAACAGCAGCAAAGAGCAAGTGGGGTTGGCAAAGGTGTGTAATTCTATTGAAGGCGACAAACTTCCGCAATGATCGACCTTTTCGTTGTTCTAGCGCACAGGGTGTCGTTAGGAAGAGATACGATTATGAAATTGCCATCAACCTTGAAAAAATAAATGTGACTCACAACATTTTTCGATGCTTGAAGGTGGATATTTTGTTTGTTTGCTTTCCAATACATTTTAATCCATGGGCTGAGTTTGAACACCCGGAAAGCAGAAGTAAATGGTTTTCGTCCACTTTTATTTTTCTTACGTTAATCTGCTGTGCTGAGATCTCGACTGCTAGGACTCCAACCAGCTTTTCTTGGTGTGTGAAGAAAATAAAGGTACTAGCTGGTGTTATTGAAGCAAAATATGTGCCCAAAGCCTGCAAAGGTTGGTCATGGATCCACTTGGCGCTGTTCGAACGAGCCATTTTGAGAATTCGTGGTCACTCATGCAAACTAATTGAGCTTCGACTGCAGCTTTCCGAAATGCTTCGCGTTTAATGTGACGAAAGAAATGCCAAACGCCCGGGATCATTGTATTTCGAGCTTTACTGATACATGCAGACCCCGTTTTGCTGTCACGGTGGAGACTTCTTCTTTGATCACTATCCACCAGTGGTAATCCACAAAAAAAACATGTATGGAATGGAATTTTCAGCTGATTGGGGCAGTTTGCTGCTTGATGGCGACCGAGACATCTATAACAATAATGCTTTCTCAGTGGACATTGAGAAGACGAATGGATAATCGTAGATGTCTTGTTTGTAATCCAACACACGCGACAAAACTGATCAGTGTCATAGAACAAGAACTGATTTAACACATTGTAGATAAATGCGTCATCTCGTTGATCTGACCTTGCGTCAACAGAATGCGTAGGAGCTGATTTTCGATTAGAAGGCGCTTCTACTGATGAGGATGAATGAATTTCAATATCACTGCAGCGTTCACTGCATATATCGCACAGCAAATTGCTTTCATCAATCGTACACGGTAGCCCAACTCCATCCATCACGTTTTGCAGGTTCTGGCGGCGGTATCTTTGTCTGGAGCGTAAGGATTTGTCAAGTTCTTGAAGTTCGTGGAGTCCATGTTCCTCGGATTAATCATTACGTAATTCTGATAGCCGTTTAATGCATCTTTCACTATAAGAAACACAATATGCTGTGATGCAACGAGCCGGCATACCATCACGTCCTGATCGACCCGTTTCTTGGGCGTAATCGATGAGATTGTGGGATAACCCGTAGTGAATGACTATACGCACGTTAGGATAATCCACACCGTGTCCCAAACCACTCGTAGCCACGATAAAAGATGTTTTGTCCGATTTCCACAGATCTAATTGGGTATATCGTTCTTCTAAATTCAGGTCGCTATGATAGCGAGCTACGCTCTTGCCAGATCTTTCGGTGAGTAAATCAGTAATTTCATCGACTTCTCGCTTTGTCATCACGAATATAATACCCTTGTTAGGATGCTTCAATGATTCTCTGACTAAATCAACACACCGTTGTTGCATTTGTGTCACAGCTGCAACTTGCTCTACAGAATGGATAATATTGGGTCGTGTTGTTGGAAGTCGTAATGATGCAAACGAAAATCCAAAGGTGGTGGCTAGATCGGTCTCCCACGACGGAGGTAATGTTGCAGTTAGTAAAACTTTCTGCACATCAAATACGGCTAGCATCGTCAGTGAAGTCATGCACCGTCTATAGTCAGCTGCAGTCAATGCAAGGTGAGCTTCATCGAAAAAAATACACTTCAGAATTTTTCGTTCTTGCAGAGTGCTAGCATACTGTTTAAATCGCGGGTGGGATAGATAATCAACGCCAACGAGTAAGAGCGGATACCAATCAGCGTGAGGATTCAAAGTCGGCCGGTACGACGCACATTTAATACCACGATCATTGCACTTATTCACAGAGTCGATCATCAGAGCTACCAAAGGTATCACCACAATAATACAGCTTGATGGCTCTGCATAAGCAGGAAGCTGGTACAGCAATGACTTACCGCCATTGGTCGGTAAAACGACTAGTAAATTTGTCAAACCTTGAAGTATCAACGTGGCACCAAGGCACTGTTGAGCAGATTTAAATCTTGCCGTGGTATCATTAAAAAACCGCTACAAGTGTTGACGAGCGATACTAAAGTGCTCTGATAATAGCCTAGTCTGGGCCTGCTGGAGGGTTTGCTGTCTAAATGATGGAACTAGTACAGGAACCGAAATTTCCATTGAAAGCCGTGGCGGAATCTGTAAATCCAATGAATCATTATAATGTGCAGCTGTCACTTGTCGATCAGAGTAACTCCGTTCAACTCGAAAATCTGCGTTTGTTAAACGGCTGCAGCTTAATTGCGAATCGCTTGTCTGGCTACGTGTCACATCATACAGTCCGAATAGCTTCTGCCACTCACAAGAACATCTATAGAATTCGTACATGTCATCCCGAGACATAAAGGACGGGTCGTTGTAGATCTGCTGTAAAGTGTCGAAGCAACTTGACTCGAATGAACAGCTTGTAAATCGTACAAGTCACTGCACAAGTCAGCTTGATTGATATGTTTGTCTACCAAACCAACTGTAAAGTGCCGATATATACTCACTGTAATTTCCAAGTTTGAGCAAAGAAATGCGTTATTAATTATCAAGTTGATGGAGTCCTCTTTGATGCGCCCTCGATCGTGAGTAGCCCACAAATAATAGTGGCACCTCTGAGATTGCTGCTTTAGACCGTCACCAATCAAGCCAAATGGAAAATGCCCCATGAAAAACTCTAGTGCTGGTCTGATATAAACTAGGTACACGACGAAGTTCAATGTCAATTGTGGCGGCACGAAGCGCGCTATTAGGCGGTGTTGTCCGGTTTGGTTGGTTCCCTTATGGTATCTCTGCACGATCATAACTTTTTTGTCGTATAGGTACACACTTCTTGCTGTCGCAACAACGTTTCGAATTAGTAGAGCAGTTCATTCGGATCCACGCGATGGCTGCCCTGCGGTGAGGTGTATTAAAGGTATCCAATTTTTGGTTATGTCGTCAACGTGCTTGCACCACGACCGCACATGATCTATATCCATTTGAACATTGGTGCCGTTCGTACACTTAATGAAATCTTTACGAAAGGTGTGCAGCAAATAGCGTACTAGATCCAAGCGCATCTCATGCAGTGAATTATTTGTGTCGTCGAGTACACTGTAGTCAAGACTCACGTGCTGATAGTCATCGTATATAACGGACGTGGTATCCTCCAATTTGCGCTGAATATTCGATAAGTCAAACCCCTTTAGCACATTAGCGTGCATCGTAGACCGCAACTTACGGACAAGTTCGTGTATCATGATCTTAATATCCGAAATTCCAACAGCTATACCGCCAAAAGATGCCCTGTCAAAATTTGGCGACAGCCATGCCAAATTGGGCATGCCCTTTTGCTCGGGAGCCATCGCAATGGTGGAACCGAGCCGCATTACTTCTTGCAATGCCCCAAACGGTGTCCGCTCGCCGTCTTTCAAATAGAAGCGCAAGTTATTCGCCCTCTGCACAGTAAACTCATTTTCTGGGGAAGGTTGGACGCCCCACTTTCGTTTGTACATTGACATGAGCGCGGTATTTCTTGCCCAAAACTTCAAAATTGCCACAAGACTAGTAATCCTTCCTGGCGCCAAAAACTGAACATTTCCGTTTGAGTCTGTCTTGGAACTTTGAATTGACGATAGAATCAGAAATCGATGTGTTGGGAACGCGAGAAAATAGCTGGGGGCATGTTTTTCGTTCAGATCGAAAAGGAAAATGGACTCCAATACCAAATGCAGTGCAGCTAGAACTTCGGTATTACTGGTTTCCTTGATCAATTCAGGAATTGTAAGTGTTTCATCATCAGGCCAAGGAGTTGTAATACCAAGTAGCATGTTCAAATGTGCAACTAGATCACCACCGTACACAATGTCTGGCACTTGTACTGGGTTGTTATGCTGTCACTGGATCATTAACAATAAGGACACAAGAAAGCGACAGTATCGATCTCCACTCGATTGAAGGCGTGAAAAAGACGACGTAGTCTTTATCTCGCTGCCACTCGATGATAAAATTCGCTCGGTCAAATATTCCTGTGTACCAACTAGACCTTCGCAGATCATCCAGTAATGTGATATTACAGGAAATTGTTTTCGGACAGCTGTACGGCTTCGGTCGAAATTGGTAGCTTTCCAAAGATCATCGATATGTCCACCGCAATGTGTTTTCAGGACTTCGTGCCACCGAAATGAACGAGCAAAAGCTGAGTGTTGGCGCTCATCAGAAGGGGGAATAAAAAAAGTATCACTCTTGTAAGTGCTGATAATCCCATCAATGAGCGTTGAGTCGCTGCAATTGCTGTGGGTTGGCTCCAGCTTAACACCAAAGTACTTTTGCTTCGGTCCTTTATAAAGTGTCTGTACTTTACAAGAAGAAAAACTATTTGTCGGACAGTCGGCGTGAGCTCCACCACTGAAATGTTTCAGCATGCTATCCCTTTCAGGTGCAAAATACGTGCACAACCGACATGAAAACCCGTCTTTGACTTCGATATGGTTGATTGAAGATATTAATTCGGATTGTGGCGTCAAAAAAAGAGATAAATCGTCTTCGCTCGCAAAATGAAAATTGCTTAAACGCTCTTTCAGTATGTCAAGGGACAACGTATCTCCATGTTTCCGTGACAGATGGCCGAGTACCTGCTCTGGTTCTTTTTTTAATCCATAACGACATCTGGCGCATACTAAAAT